CCGTGCTTTCTGGAACTGCTGCAGCGCCCGGCGGTCGATCGATGCATTCGCCACTGGGGCTCCTCCCTGACATTTCCACGTCAGGGCTGCACAATACAAGCTGACCATGGCTTCCACGCTTGCCGCCTCACCGGCGGCTTGTGTCAAGATAGGCTTGTGCGCTTCCAGGATGTGCTCCAATATCGCACCGTCATTATCAGCACTGAAACTGCACTCCTTGAAGCTGCAATGCGCCCGTGGCAAATCATATGCCTCGAGCCTGTCCGTCGCATTCTGGCAGTGCCATGGTAATGTGGGCTTCTCTGCGAGGCATTCGCCCAACAACATAACCTTTCTTTCCTGTGCCTGTCTTGGATCGTTGCTGGTGCTTGGGTCTCCGCAGCGCAACCGAAACATATCTTCCTCCTCAGACGACTCCTCCTCACCGTCCCCAGGCAAAGCGTTGGAACTACATCCCTTCTCCAAAGCCAACGCCGCAGGTGTTTTTGTCCATAAGCGGCGTGCTGGGGCGCTACCGGCCGTCTTCTTATCCGCGTCTGTTGCCTTTGGCAAACGGTTTGTTGGCACCTCTTTGCCCATCTTGTTCTCATGCTGGCTTTCCGCTGCAGGAGAGCTGACATCAAGGTCCTTGGCCTGGCCAAGCGATGTGGCACCCTCCGCCTGGAGGCGCTGCTCTGCATCACCTTTGCTTTCCTCGAACTCTCGGCTTGGTCCTACTGGTGGTTGTTTCCCCCTCAGCCGTTTCAACGGGGACGCCATTCCTTGCCGAGGGAATGCTGCTGCGGCGGTTGGTTGCTTCCGTTTCTCCCCTCTGGCCTGCGCCGCCTCCTTGGCTTGTTCCATCTCTTGGCTTGCCTTTCCGTCCTCTTTGTTCCCTACGCCGCGGCGTTCCTCTTGTGTCTTTGGCACCTCTGCTGCCTCTGCCTCGTTCAATTTTCGGCCGTGGCCTTGTGTTCGCACAGAAGTGTAGGCCAACCACTGGTCAACCAACCTGCGCGCAGCATGAATGCCAGAATCTGCATACACCAATCCAGCCTGCAGCAATGTATGCAGCTTCCGCACCAACGCCTCTCGATCGTTCCATGCCGCCACAACCTCTGCAGCGTCACTGCTACCTATGCGGAGGTAGACGCCACGGGACCGCAAGAAGTCGCCAAGCATTCCTTCGACCTGACGTTGGGGCGGAACCTCCGGCCATGGTGGCTCGCCATGCGCCGCGTTTTCTGCCATGGCTTTGGCTTCTACATGGTCACGCGACGGACAGCCCGCCTTTGCACTGTTCCGTGCTCCCCTTGTTGCAACATTCTTGTCCTGGCTCACGCGGTGACAACCCGCTCGCGCCGCAGTGGGCGTGCCATGCAGCCCCACGCTTCTAGGCACCAACACATCAAAATGGTAGCCTCTGCCTGTGACATCAGTGTGATTGTAGACGTGAAGCACATAGCGTTCATAGATGACCCGCTGTCCCCACGTGAAATCAACATGAGACAAGTCTTCCCCTGCTCGTCCCAACTCCTCCTGGGGCAGGCAATCATAAAAACAAACTCGAACTGCAATGTCTGCGTTCCATAGCTTCTGAAGGAAAAAACTCAGGATGCGAGGTGTGTCTCTATGCCCGTCAAGATAGATTCCGCGTGGCGTGCCATGCCGCAGTAGCAGCTCCTCACGGCACGCTGCGCACAACGCTCTCCGTTCCTCAGCCGCGTACTTTTTCGGCGCCACGCCTGTTGCCATGAGGCCCAAGAGGAGAGAATCAATAAGGCAATTATTGGCCCCATGTGAGGAGGCCACCTTCAGGACCAAGCCCCGTGCCTCCAAGTCCTGCAACCGCTGCCGGTTGGATGTCAACCGTGCAGGCACGTTTGCCCCTGCAATACGCAAGAAACGTTCTGCCACAGCGAAGGCTACAGCATCAGAGCCAGCAGTCTCCATCTCTGCCCAACCATGCCATGTGTCCACCCAATCCTGCCCAAGCAGCTCCGCTACCTGGTTGTTGTCACCTAGCACCGATAAACAAATCGCAGCTACCAGTTCCTTGGCGTCTGGGGCCACTCCGCCACCACAGAACCGTTTCCGGGGTGCACCGGCCCACGCCATTTCAATGCCAGGAGGTTGGTTGATGTGTTTCTCACAAGCGGGTGCACTTTCAACGGCCGCCAGGAGGACGACGACGACGACGACGACAACAACAACAACAACAACACCAACACCAACACCAACACCAACACCACCAACAACAAGAACAACAAGAACAACAAGAAGAACAAGAAGAACAAGAAGAACAAGAAGAACAAGAAGAACAAGAAGAACAAGAACAACAACAACAACGACAACGACGACAACGACAACGACAACGACAACAACAACTTCCACGACAACCACAACCACAACCACAACAAAAACAACAACAACAGCAACAACAACAACGACAACGACAACGACAACGACAACCACGACAACCACGACAACCACGACAACCACAACAACCACAACCACAACAACAAAAACAACAACAACAACAACAGCAACAGCAACAGCAACAACAGCAACAACAACAGCAACAACAACAACATCCACAACATCCACAACAACCACAGCAACCACACCCACCACACCCACCACAACCACAACCACAACCACAACACCAACACCAACACCAACACCACCACTACCACCACCAACAACAACAACAACAACCACAACAACGACAACAACGACAACAACGACAACCACGACAACCACGACAACGACAACAACGACAACAACGACAACAACGACAACAACGACAACAACGACAACAACGACAACAACAACAACAACAACAGCAACAACAACAACAACAACAACGACAACGACAACGACAACGACAACACAACGACAACGACAACAACAACAACAACAACAACAACAACAACAACAACAACAACAACCACAACCACAACCACAACCACAACCACAACCACAACGACAACGACAACCACAACAACACCAACACCAACACCAACACCAACACCAACAACAACAACAACAACAACAACAACAACAACAACAACAACAACAACAACAACAGCAGCAACAGCAACAGCAACAGCAACAGCAACAGCAACAGCAACAACAACAACAACAACAACACCAACAGCAACAGCAACAACAACAACAACACCAACACAATCAGATCTTACGATACAGCCTCCTTGCGGAGGACAGCCCTTTCGGGCACGGGACAAGCCCGCTAAGTGCTTTTCAGCACCTCGTGCATTTACAGTCCGCACGGTGGACCTCATGCATTTTAAGCCCGCATGGTAGGTCTCGTGCATTTTGTGCCAGCACGGAAGGCAAGCCTTTCGCGGCCCCGCACGCATCATGCTGGGATGCGTCTTGGGCCACAATGTCACTCAGAACAAACACAATTTGCATCTTGGACTCCCCCTCAGATTTCGGAATTTTCTGACCTCTTCCTTCTGGCCAATAACCCCCACAAGTTTCCACACTATCCTTTTCGATCTCAAGCTATCTCAGAGATTGTACACAAAAAGCCAGTCAGGCACACAAAATAGCGACTACAAATACAAAAGGCATTTCATACTTTCTACCTGGAAAATTCAGTTCAGTGCTTTGAGGCGCAGCTAAACAATATAGGCTCTGTAGACCTTACAGCTTTGTACATAATACAACCCGCCAGCCAAAAAAATCCATGAGAGTATCTGAAAGCCAACTTCTTAAACCCTAATATGGCACGAACGATTTGATACCAAACTCCTGCCAGGAGACTTGCAACAACTGACCGCCCTTGCACCACCTATGCTGCATTTTTCCAACCCAGAGTGAACACAAGTGCGAACATCCTGAAACCAAGTCAGATTTCCTTTGGAAACCTGAGGGTTCACCTAAACATTTCAGCACCCTCACTTGATTAAACTAACCTTGGCACCACGGATCTGAGCGTAATACATGTGTGTGTGTGTAAGTGCAGGTGCATTTGAATTTATATAATCTATCTATCTATCTATCTATCTAATCTAATCTAATCTAATCTAATCTAATCTATCTATCTATCTTATCTATATATATATATACATACAGGATGTACAGACAAACCCTGCGCACATGCGCATGCAACGCAATCTGTGCCCAAGACCATTAACAGGGGTCGGCGGCACCAGGGCGTTAGCCCATTTATTAATAGATATAAATAGTACCTATTTATCATGACAAATCATAATTAAACCAATAGAAGAGGGGAAATTATCAGAGAAACAAAAGGCACAGGTGCTTCCAATATATTCCAGCATATTCTGCAAAGCCGTCCCTACTGAGCTCTTAGCCAAAACGGTGCTCATCGCCAGCTGCGAGCTCAGGCGCGTGACACGTGGAGAGGGTTCGTTGCCACCAGACAGGCTGCTCACCTCAGCCGAAAAAAAAAAAAACAGTTGCTTTCACTGATTCACCACCTCAAACTATGTTATATCGCTTGCCTGACGCTTCTCCGTGAGAGCCGACGGCTTGGTGCGAGATGATATTGCCTGGCAGCCGGCAGCCGTGTCTGGGGTGAGCATTAGATTTCCAAGAAAATGATACCAACAGCGTCTGCAGGCGCTCAAAACCATGAGTGTGGAGGAAGGCCAACTTATGTGCACGTTATCAGATAAGAATGGAACAGCAGCGCCTGAGAAGCAGTCGCTGGGGGCTGTCCCACCTCAAAAGACACTACTCAACAAAAAGGGGCCACAAATGACCCATGCAAAAGGCAGCAAATTGCCTTGCTAGAAGATCTAGAAGGACCTTTACACGTTGACTGAGCTGTCCAGGCAGCATGTCCAAGGCCTCCTAGTTTTGAGGCCATGCAGAACATAAGAAAAATTTTTCTGACACGCGTGATGGCTCCGACACTTCTGGCCTTTTAGCTGAATCCGAGCCTAGCTGGATGAAAAGCCCACAACAAGTTATCGCCAAAGAACAAGCTGAGCTAAACATAAGATGCCCTTCAAACGAAAGTATTGATCACTTTTGTGTGCCTTTCTTTCTCCAGCAATCCCGTTTCAGGCCCGTTGTGTTTCGGGCTCTAGCACCTCCACGAAAATCGACAGCAAAACCGAAGCAACCAGCTGGCCGCGCCAGTGGTTTGCTAAGCTATACTCATTTCAGGCCTCTGCTTAACTCATTGGGTAGTGGCAAGGTCACACCCTCAGTTCTGTGCATGCAGAAAGCGCGCATGATGCTCCAAGTGTTCACCTTGGTGTAGGCTCAGGGTTTTCCAAACCAAACTTGGGGCTGACTTTTTTGGGTATTGGAATCCAGTGGGGAACTCCATCTTTCTTGTGGGTTATTCCATGTCCTGAGACTCAAATTTGCTGTTTCTGTGCATGTTGCTTGTACACGTGGTCTCCGGTGGACAGCAACTGATGGATGGAGAGATCAAAGGCAAAATGGTGACGACAAGGAAATTGATTCCATAAACATAAACTGCGATTTGCAATGCCATCATGTCTTGTCTGGTCCTCTCCGCCCACCACGGTCACTACAACTCACCTGCATGCCATAGCAACTCACCTGGTTTATTCTTTGATGTAGCCGTGGTCGAGGAAGATCCAACATCTTGTCATGGTGGTTTTTGTTTTTCATTGTACCCAACCGTACCTTCGTGAACACCTCCAAAATCCACAAATGATGTTGGAATGTTCACCTACAGTCTCTGGGCTGTTTAGTGCTGATGCCCATGGTTTGAGCATAAAACTGACTAGCCTTTACTCACTTGGACTCACCCAATCCATGCAACCCAGGTTCGAATAAAGGTGGACATAAAGTAATAGCTGTGATCATATCCAGCCTGCATCCTTCGGGGCACGGCACACATACTCGTCACACCCCTCCAAACAAACTCCGCTGTTCGGCGCAAATAAATTGCTACTCGGGACAACCAACCAAGGTTACATGTATTTTTACAAAGTCAAAAGAAGTTGCGATTGAAATGTTGTTCAGCATCAGAATCAATATCCTGCAATTTTCCAAGTTTTTTGACAATTCCCATTTACAAATCATAATTTCATAGTTTTCAATAGTTATCAACAAGTTTTACATAAAATATCCAGCAACCATATATATATATATACATTTTATTTAAAAAAAGAACGACATCACTTTTTTTCCAGTTGCTGTGTCTCAACTCCAGGCCTGAAAGTCACCGGCACCTTGGCCTTCTGAGCCGCCTCCATGAAGGCCAGGGGCTGCAGCTGGTTGACGTCACCCACCAGGAAATTGTCTGCCTGGAACAACTTGGCCGCGATGCGTCTGTTGACAAACATATGCCAAACATCAACATCATGTGAATCATGTGCATACATTTTTACCCCATGATTTTGCACTACGTATTTATATCCAAATATTGGTTTATATGTATTAATCTATAAACTCTTCTTCTCTGGCTTCTTGTCAGAGCTGGCGTTGCCCAACAGAAAACCCTGCGCTCTGTTGTAGAGTCTTACGCAGGTGACAGCAACAAAAACTCGCACCAATGCCCTTTTGCCAGTTTACTTGTTCAGCACAAATGCAGAGTTTAAGAGTTGGGAAAAATAATGTTGCAATCGATTAAATAGAAATCATCATTATAGACTTCCAGTAGCCAGTTTGCTCACCGTTTGTCTACCCGATGTGTGTGTGGACTGCCTTTGGCAAATTGGTGCCTGCTTTGAAGCGAAATTCCTTCATGGGGTCGTTTTTTTCCCATTTTGAAGACAGTTTAGTGTGCACATATCCAAACCGTTTGGTGAGCGTATCAATAACCTTTTGGTTGGTCCATGATCTGTCAATGTGTGCGGGTGGAACTCAGAGAAATTGCCGGCTGTTAGGTGTTAGCCTTTAAATATGTTTACAAAAAGTTGGGGATATCGATATGATGGATATACAACACAGGTAATTGGAGACATAAATTGGCAATGTCACAAACAAAACTTGGGGTTGACAAACTGACATGACGGTCTATGCACAGTATATATAGTCAACTGAAAAGGACTAGTATCGCACCGTGTCAAAATAATCAGACGCCTAGGACTCCGCATTCAGAGTATCCAAGGGGACTAAGAAAACCTGAAAACCGTCAATCTCACTCCAGCCGCAAAGGACATTAAAAAATTCAAAAATTGGAGGATCCAATACATGGGTTGTCCGAAAGCGGAATATTCCGAATTCCATTGATTCATCATTTTCCCCAAGAACGTGGCTATAACAGGGTTATGTATATTTTGTGTATGTATATATATATATACATATATTTACTTATTTATATATGTATGTATATGTATTTGTTTTGTATGTACGTACGTACGTACGTACGTACGTACGTACGTGTGTATGTATGTATATATATATATATATGTGCATATGTGTGTATGTATATGTAAATACATAAACATATATATATGTATGTATATTATATATATACACACATATATAATATACATATATACATATATACATATATACATATATACATATATACATATATACATATATACATATATACATATATACATATATACATATATACATATATACATATATACATATATACAGATATACAGATATACATATATACATATATACATATATACATATATACATATATACATATATACATATATACATATATACATATATATAATATGTGTATGTATTTAATATCTATGTAATATGTAAAAATATGTGTATGTGTATGTACGTATATACATATGTCTCCGGGGGTACCCTGGCAAACACACATTGCTTGCGCAAGCTGCAGTTCCGCAATCACAGAGAATGTGAAGGTCCTTGCCTGCAACAACAAGAAGAATGCAAACAACCGCAGAATTGCCATGTTGACCAATAGAAAATAGGGAAATAAATCAAACAATGGTGATGTCAACAAATCGCGGCTGATTTGGCAAACAACAATGTGTGTGCACGTGTTGATTCTAGAGTGGCGAACCCAGGACACATGTCTTCGCAACAGGTGGGCGCTAGATGGGTCACACCCACTCGGCCCGCTGTCCTTTGTACTCTGAGATCAACTCGGTGGCGTCGTATTGCTTCCAGCTCTGGCGCGGAGCCAGAGACTGATGTTGTCACAGACGCAAATACCAAGATCTTTCAGATACTGTGAGGCAGACCTAAAGATTTGCTGGATGACAGTGTGGTCCAGAACTTGTAGCAATGGAGTCAGAAACAATACGCAGTATTAATCCGCCGACCCCTGCCGTCAGCAGGGGGAGCGCGTCAGAGGAGGCCTTACTAGCAACAAGATGCCAGAAGGGGCGAAGAGTTTGCGCAGAACGAAAGCCGGCTCCAGGAGGACACGAGCAGGGTGGCAGTTGGCAGTGCAGAAACGCAGGAAAAGTCAAGGTTTGGAGCTAGTTTCTAGTCGGTCAGAAAGTGACGTTTGGCAGTCTGGGATACGGGCCGCGGGCCCAATCCGTCCTTCACTGCCATGGTGTTTTAGCCCTGCGACACGGTCCTTGGACTCCAGCTTGGACCGAAGCGGTGCAGAACGAAAGCCGGCTCCAGGAGGACACGAGCAGGGTGGCAGTTGGCAGTGCAAAAACGCAGGAAAAGTCAAGGTTTGGAGCTAGTTTCTAGTCGGTTCAGAAAGTGACGTTTGGCAGTCTGGGATACGGGCCGCGGGCCCAATCCGTCCTTCACTGCCATGGTGCTTAGCCCTGCGACACGGTCCTTGGACTCCAGCTTGGACCGAAGCGGTGCAGAACGAAAGCCGGCTCCAGGAGGACACGAGCAGGGTGGCAGTTGGCAATGCAGAAACGCAGGAAAAGTCAAGGTTTGGAGCTAGTTTCTAGTCGGTTCAGAAAGTGACGTTTGGCAGTCTGGGATACGGGCCGCGGGCCTAATCCGTCCTTCACTGCCATGGTGTTTTAGCCCTGCGACACGGTCCTTGGACTCCAGCTTAGACCGAAGCGGTGCAGAACGAAAGCCGGCTCCAGGAGGACACGAGCAGGGTGGCAGTTGGCAGTGCAGAAACGCAGGAAAAGTCAAGGTTTGGAGCTAGTTTCTAGTCGGTTCAGAAAGTGACGTTTGGCAGTCTGGGATACGGGCCGCGGGCCCAATCCGTCCTTCACTGCCATGGTGTTTTAGCCCTGCGACACGGTCCTTGGACTCCAGCTTTGGACCGAAGCGGTGCAGAACGAAAGCCGGCGCCAGGAGGACACGAGCAGGGTGGCAGTTGGCAGTGCAGAAACGCAGGCAAAGTCAAGGTTTGGAGCTAGTTTCTAATCGGTTCAGAAAGTAACGTTTGGCACTCTGGGCTACGGGCCGCAGAACGAAAGCCGGCTCCAGGAGGACACGAGCAGGGTGGCAGTTGGCAGTGCAGAAACGCAGGAAAAGTCAAGGTTTGGAGCTGGTTTCTAGTCGGTTCAGAAAGTGACGTTTGGCAGTCTGGGATACGGGCCGCGGGCCCAATCCGTCCTTCACTGCCATGGTGTTTTAGCCCTGCGACACGGTCCTTGGACTCCAGCTTGGACCGAAGCGGTGCAGAACGAAAGCCGGCTCCAGGAGGACACGAGCAGGGTGGCAGTTGGCAGTGCAGAAACGCAGGAAAAGTCAAGGTTTGGAGCTTATTTCTAGTTGGTTCAGAAAGTGACGTTTGGCAGTCTGGGATACGGGCCGCAGGCCCAATCCGTCCTTCACTGCCATGGTGTTTTAGCCCTGCGACACGGTCCTTGGACTCCAGCTTAGACCGAAGCGGTGCAGAACGAAAGCCGGCTCCAGGACGACACGAGCAGGGTGGCAGTTGGCAGTGCAGAAACGCAGGTAAAGTCAAGGTTTGGAGCCGCAGAACGAAAGCCGGCTCCAGGAGGACACGAGCAGGGTGGCAGTTGGCAGTGCAGAAACGCAGGAAAAGTCAAGGTTTGGAGCTAGTTTCTAGTCGGTTCGGAAAGTGACGTTTGGCAGTCTAGGATACGGGCCGCGGGCCCAATCCGTCCTTCACTGCCATGGTGTTTTAGCCCTGCGACACGGTCCTTGGACTCCAGCTTGGACCGAAGCGGTGCAGAACGAAAGCCGGCTCCAGGAGGACACGAGCAGGGTGGCAGTTGGCAGTGCAGAAACGCAGGAAAAGTCAAGGTTTGGAGCTAGTTTCTAGTCGGTTCAGAAAGTGACGTTTGGCAGTCTGGGATACGGGCCGCGGGCCCAATCCGTCCTTCACTGCCATGGTGTTTTAGCCCTGCGACACGGTCCTTGGACTCCAGCTTGGACCGAAGCGGTGCAGAACGAAAGCCGGCTCCAGGAGGACACGAGCAGGGTGGCAGTTGGGCAGTGCAGAAACGCAGGAAAAGTCAAGGTTTGGAGCTAGTTTCTAGTCGGTTCAGAAAGTGACGTTTGGCAGTCTGGGATACGGGCCGCCGACACAATCCGTCCTTCACTGCCATGGTGTTTTTTAGCCCTGCGACACGGTCCTTGGACTCCAGCTTAGACCGAAGCGGTGCAGAACGAAAGCCGGCTCCAGGAGGACACGAGCAGGGTGGCAGTTGGCAGTGCAGAAACGCAGGTAAAGTCAAGGTTTGGAGCCGCAGAACGAAAGCCGGCTCCAGGAGGACACGAGCAGGGTGGCAGTTGGCAGTGCAGAAACGCAGGAAAAGTCAAGGTTTGGAGCTAGTTTCTAGTCGGTTCAGAAAGTGACGTTTGGCAGTCTGGGATACGGGCCGCGGGCCCAATCCGTCCTTCACTGCCATGGTGTTTTAGCCCTGCGCCACGGTCCTTGGACTCCAGCTTGGACCGAAGCGGTGCAGAACGAAAGCCGGCTCCAGGAGGACACGAGCAGGGTGGCAGTTGGCAGTGCAGAAACGCAGGAAAAGTCAAGGTTTGGAGCTAGTTTCTAGTCGGTTCAGAAAGTGACGTTTGGCAGTCTGGGATACGGGCCGCGGGCCCAATCCGTCCTTCACTGCCATGGTGTTTTAGCCCTGCGACACGGTCCTTGGACTCCAGCTTGGACCGAAGCGGTGCAGAACGAAAGCCGGCTCCAGGAGGACACGAGCAGGGTGGCAGTTGGCATGCAGAAACGCAGGAAAAGTCAAGGTTTGGAGCTAGTTTCTAGTCGGTTCAGAAAGTGACGTTTGGCAGTCTGGGATACGGGCCGCGGGCCCAATCCGTCCTTCACTGCCATGGTGTTTTAGCCCTGCGACACGGTCCTTGGACTCCAGCTTGGACCGAAGCGGTGCAGAACGAAAGCCGGCTCCAGGAGGACACGAGCAGGGTGGCAGTTGGCAGTGCAGAAACGCAGGAAAAGTCAAGGTTTGGAGCTAGTTTCTAGTCGGTTCAGAAAGTGACGTTTGGCAGTCTGGGATACGGGCCGCGGGCCCAATCCGTCCTTCACTGCCATGGTGTTTTAGCCCTGCGACACGGTCCTTGGACTCCAGCTTGGACCAAAGCGGTGCAGAACGAAAGCCGGCGCCAGGAGGACACGAGCAGGGTGGCAGTTGGCAGTGCAGAAACGCAGGTAAAGTCAAGGTTTGGAGCTAGTTTCTAGTCGGTTCAGAAAGTAACGTTTGGCACTCTGGGCTACGGGCCGCAGAACGAAAGCCGGCTCCAGGAGGACACGAGCAGGGTGGCAGTTGCAATGCAGAAACGCAGGAAAAGTCCAGGTTTGGAGCTAGTTTCTAGTCGGTTCAGAAAGTGACGTTTGGCAGTCTGGGATACGGGCCGCGGGCCCAATCCGTCCTTCACTGCCATGGTGTTTTAGCCCTGCGACACGGTCCTTGGACTCCAGCTTGGACCGAAGCGGTGCAGAACGAAAGCCGGCTCCAGGAGGACACGAGCAGGGTGGCAGTTGGCAGTGCAGAAACGCAGGAAAAGTCAAGGTTTGGAGCTAGTTTCTAGTCGGTTCAGAAAGTGACGTTTGGCAGTCTGGGATGGGCCCAATCCGTCCTTCACTGCCATGGTGTTTTAGCCCTGCGACACGGTCCTTGGACTCCAGCTTGGACCGAAGCGGTGCAGAACGAAAGCCGGCTCCAGGAGGACACGAGCAGGGTGGCAGTTGGCAGTGCAGAAACGCAGGAAAAGTCAAGGTTTGGAGCTAGTTTCTAGTCGGTTCAGAAAGTGACGTTTGGCAGTCTGGGATACGGGCCGCGGGCCTAATCCGTCCTTCACTGCCATGGTGTTTTAGCCCTGCGACACCTTCCTTGGACTCCAGCTTAGACCGAAGCGGTGCAGAACGAAAGCCGGCTCCAGGAGGACACGAGCAGGGTGGCAGTTGGCAGTGCAGAAATGCAGGTAAAGTCAAGGTTTGGAGCCGCAGAACGAAAGCCGGCTCCAGGAGGACACGAGCAGGGTGGCAGTTGGCAGTGCAGAAACGCAGGAAAAGTCAAGGTTTGGAATGGTTTGGAGCTAGTTTCTAGTCGGTTCAGAAAGTGACGTTTGGCAGTCTAGGATACGGGCCGCGGGCCCAATCCGTCCTTCACTGCCATGGTGTTTTAGCCCTGCGACACGGTCCTTGGACTCCAGCTTGGACCGAAGCTGTGCAGAACGAAAGCCGGCTCCAGGAGGACACGAGCAGGGTGGCAGTTGGCAGTGCAGTGTCGTCTCGGGTCTCTTTAGGATGCCATTTCAAGTTTCATACTGCGGTTACGAACGGGGGCTTCGGGTACGGGTCTTAAGTGCTAGAGCAACCCTTTAGGTCCCCAAGACACCTGCCCAATGACGAAAGCTCCTATTTCTTGAGCCATGAAAAAGTGTCAGAGCACATAGTTGTGCGTGTCATCCTGCAGGGGTCCATGCTGCTTGCATGTGCACAGTGCCAAACGCACATACAAATGGTTTGTTTAGGTCAGTTTCTGGTTTCTTTAGGGTTCATTTCATGCTTACGACACAGAGGCAGGCATGACCCTCCAGTGTCCAGGGGTCGGCGGCAGAGGGCGTAGCCCTTTAATATTACTACTTGGATATAAGCACGGTAAGCAGTCAAACCTCTGTTTCTGAGGCCAAGCTGAGTTTCATATGAATCGAGTCATTCAGTTTTTGCCTATAGACTTACTGAGGTGAGCCCAAGAAAGCACGGGCAAGCACATCGTTCCAACCTAGTTGAAGTGCAAGTACACTCAAGATTCAAGAGTTGCCGCCAAAGTGAAATTCCTTGCTTCAAAATTTTGATAAATGTGCCAAAAAAAAACGGCGTCCCAACAGAGTTCCATTCTCTTGCAATGTAATTAACCCAGCATACAGCCCCAATAGCAAAGTTTCGCGTTTCCTTCGACGCCAATTTGGTATTGAGAGGTGTGCCAGCTCAGTCAAGAAAATGCCATTCCTTCAAGACCCCCGAGACACCACAGAAACATCACCAAAACATGAGAAAAACGCCCAACATCATCAAGACACTACGGACACACCACCAAAGTGCCACAAGACACCAACGACCACTAAAACACAATTGAGAGACCACCAAGACACCAACAGGACCGACACCACCAAATCCCGAAAGGGCCTGCAAAGGTTTTTTCCCAAAAAGTTGCTGTCAGCATAATTTGTCATTCCCATCACCACCATCACAACACCGTCACAACAACAACAACAACAACAACAACAACAACAACAACAACAACAACAACAACAACAACCACGACGATGACGGCGACGACGACGACGACGACCACGACGACGACGACGACGACGACGACGACAACGACAACGACAACGACATCATCATCACAACACTATCATCATCATCATCATCATGATCATCATCATCATCATCGTCATCATCATCATCATAATCATCATCATCATCGTCATCATCGTCATCCTCATCATCATCATCATCATCAGCATCATCATCATCATCATCATTTGATTGTTCTTTTTCGCTATCCATGCCCGTATCTGTATCATCGTCATCGTCATCGTCATCGTCATCATCATCATCATCATCATCACCATCATCATCATCATTAATTAAAATCATCCTCAACATCCTCGCTCTTCATGTTTGCAAATTTCAACTTGTGTTCAGATTCAATTGGACATGATCTTCTTTCATGCATGCATCTACACAATGAGATACACAGGTGTAGATGCATTTAAATATCTTACTGACGCAAGCATCTAGGCGCAGGTGCATAGATGCAGATGCATAGGATCTTGTTTCACGCACCAAATGAATATACCAACACGTTACTTCTTAAGTTGCAGGTGGGGGTCGACTGCTTTAAAAACACCTACAAATTCAAGATGCAGGTGGAGATCAAGTTCTTAAGGGCGGCAGAGCAGCGTGGATGGATGTCCACGAAGCACAACCCTCTCGCACGATATGCCGATGGTCAAAAATTGAGGTGAAATCGCAATGCGGGCTTGTGCTGGGTCAACGCTTTCCCACGAAACACGCCTCAATCCTCAAAAACTGCAACGAAATTACGATTCTTGCGTTTCAATGGTTTTGCAGAGCCTCTCACACCATATAGATCGTCAAAGCTAACGTGAAAGTAATGCTTTTTGCGTTTGGATGGTTTTGCGCAGATGCTCTTGCACTAAATGCGGTTAAAAACAAGTGAAATTGCTCGCGCAACCCTTTAGCACGAAATGCGTCTCAATTATCAAAAGCTGTGGTGAAATTGCCATGTTGCATCTGCTTGCTGAACTCTCTCGCGCAAAATTCGTGTCCGACGTCGGAAATCGTGCCAAAGTATGTCTTCGTAAGAACGTCCGTATGAAAAAGCTCCTCGTGTAAATGCATTCCTTTGTAAGAGAACCTCTGCTTGTAATGGCATCTGCGTGTAAGACTACCTCTTTGTACAAATATCTTTGTGTAAAAACATGTGTGTTTAAAAACATTCACGTGAAAGAGCATGCGGTGTGTGTGTGTGTGCGCGCGCGTGAGAAGAAAACGCCTCTGTGAAAAAACATCACTGTGCAAAAGTATTTGTGTAAAAGCACTTGTCACTGTGTGTCAAAGTATGTCTGCGTAAAAAGTACTTGCGTGTAAAAGAATCTCTGCATGAAAGAACTTGTATGCAAAAACATTGCATAAACGTATTAGTGTGTAAAACACCTGTGTGTAAAAGTATTTCTGAGTAGTAAAGGCACCTGTGTGCAAACGCGCCTGCATGTAAAAGTTTCCCCTTGCACACTCATCTCTGTCTAAAGGTATCTGTGTCCCAAAGCACCTGCGTGTAAAAGCATCTCTGCGTTGAAAGCATCTCCGTGTAAGAGCACCTGCGTGCACAAGCATCTCTGAGTAAAGTTGTCTCTCTGTGTAAAACCATCTCTGTGTGAAGGCCCGTCCCTGTGTAAAAGCACTTGTGTGCGTGTGTGTAAAAGCATCTCTCTGCAAAAGCATGATTTGTGTGTAAACGTACAAGTGAGAATGGATGGAAGCCTGATTCCAAAATGGTTTGATACCTCCCTTAAATTGTGTGTCCAGCCTCACCCATGTAAAAGTTCATCTGCCTAGAAGCATCCCAAAGCACCTGTGTGAAAGGGAATCTCTGTGGAAGAGTATCTGTCAAAAAAGACCTCTTTGTAAAAAAAAGTATCTGTGGACTATCTGTGTTTGAAAAGCACCTCTGTATAAACGTATTTCTGTGCAAAAACCTCTCTGCGTAAGAGTAGTTCTGTGTGTGAAAGCTTCTGTGTGTAAAGGATACGCTGTGTCAAAAAATCCCTGTGGAAAAGCACATGTGCGAAAAGGCATTCCTGCCTAAAAGCATCACTGTGTAAAGGCATCTGTGTGTAGAAGTACCTGCGCGTCTATGTGTAACAATTCCTCTGTGAAAAAGTTCCCCTGTGTAAAGGCACCTGTGCGTAAAGGAATTTGTGTATAAAAGCATCTCAGGGTAAAAACATCTGTGCAAACGTCTGTGTGCAAAAACGTGTCTTTGTGAAAAGCATCTCTATGAAAAAGTACCCGTGTGTAGAAGCACCCCTGCGTATAAGCAGCTAACGTCTGCAAAATTGCATGATATTTATTTGCAAGATTTGGAATCATATCTGAAACTGTGTTGTCATTTTACACGTTCGGAAGCCAAAATTCTGCACACTGTAGAATGCGTGCAGCATGCCCAAGCCAAAACTATCACTTGCACAGTATGTGCAGCATACTGGGGCAGAGCTTAGCAACGCATGGCCCTTGCAATACCTGGAACTATCACTTGCAAACCGCAGGGCGTTTGCAGCAGTTTGAATTGACATCTGCAAGTTGGATGCAAGTGGAATGGCACCGCAACACGCCGGAACCATCATCTGCACATTGCACATAATGAGTGGCCTGGTATTTGCAGCGTGTTGCATCTAAAATCTGAAAAATGCACTGTGGCTACCACATTTTGAAACCAACACTTGTAAATTGCACAGGACTTGCAGCTGTTTGAAAGTAATATGTGCAAATTGGAAGGTGCACGCAGCATTCTGGAGCTAGGCCTTTGCCTTTGTCCCTTTCTTCCTTTCTTCCTTCCGTCCTTCCTTCCTTCCCTCTTCCCTCCTGCTTGCTTTCGCATTTTCGTGATCGCTCGTGACCAACACCCGCCTTAAGAGAGAATAAAAATTAGAAGAGAAAAGAGAGAGAGAGAGCGAGAGAAGAGAGAGAGAGAAGATCTGAAGAGATAAGATCCGCAGACATAAGGTCTGAAGACGTAAGATGTGAAGTGTTCAGGTCTGCGTGCGCAAGAAGGTTTACCCCCAGGCGCTCTCGGGAAAAAACACCTATATAGGGACCATCAACACCATTGAGACACCACAAAGGCACCACCAAGACCAAGAGACCGCTACCACCAAGACGCAACCAAGACACCACCGAGACACCGTCGAGACACCAGCAAAACACCAGGGAGACACCAGCAAGAGACAACCGAGACATCACCAAGACACCAGCGAGACACCACGAAGACACGACCAAGATACAAGCGAGACACCACCGAGACATCAGGGAGACACCACCAAGAGAAAAGCGAGACACCACCGAGACAGCATTGAGACACCACCGAGACACCGCCCAGGGGCAGCCGTGAACCCGACGGCGCCCGTCCGCCTTTGGAGTTAACAACCCCAAGCTATCGCTATTGGGGACGATTGGGGAATTACCTTCTAAGGCCATACTAAACCCCGTGGCAGTTCCTGCGTTGCACCTGCTCGTCGCTACCGAGGTAGAACTTGAAAGCCTTCTGTCCCCAAGGGACCTTCGTGGGATTGCAGATGGGTGCAAAGGCCGAGACAGAGCTATACCTCAGCATGCGAAGCCACATCCATCGACCGAATCTGTATCCCTGGCAGCTGTGAGCCTTCCTCGTACATTCTTTCAGAGCAAACCAAAAGCGGGATTGAGTATCTCTTGAGTGTGTGTGTGTGTATGTCTGACCGGGTTGCCTCTCAGGATTCTTCAGGCCAATGGTCAAAGCACCATGCCCACCCATGGAATGGCCAGAGATAGCCCGCTTATCTGTCACAGGCAAATTCGCCTGCAAGAAGTGAAAATGCAATGCTGCACATTGTGCTGAACAGACAAAGTGTGTAGGAAATGTGTTTGGAAAGAACACCCTTGATATATCGAGTTTATCACAAAAAACCCTCTTCCATATCTTACATGACACAAAGGCTGCATATTAGTTGAGATGCACAGTAAAATCAAAATGAATCAGCAATTGAATCGGTAGTCAGCCCTGGTTGATCACCTGGCCTCCACCAGGGCCGGTAGCTCTTTCACAACGAAGTCATACCTACCGGATTTTGCATACTGCTGCTGCACCAGGGTCACATCGCATGTTTGGAATGTGGTCGCGCCATCGGGGTATCGAAAATTGAGTACCACTCAGCTTGAGAGAACAGCTGACTCCATGCGCAAGCAAGCTTCCCTTAAAGCACCTTCATATTTCCTCCGAGAAGCATATTGTAGTGGGTCTTGTACTTGTCAGTGGTGGCATTCAAGTAAAACCCAGCTCCAATACCAAAGTCATAGGTGTGTGGATCCTGCACGTTGGCTTCAGAACAATCATGAGTCTCTTGATGGGAAAAACCAACGGCTCATGCATGTGAAAACCGTCCAGACTCCTCATCTGGCACACCATCACCCCGTGGTGAGGTATCAGGCATCACCAATACCACCTGAGCCGTTTGAGCTGACGTCCCTCATCAGGGAACGTTGCACAATGGCAAGTGGCACAGGTTCCTCATCAATTCATATTTTCAATACTCAAATTCCTTCAAAGCTATGCTGCGTGGGTTCCAGTTCAGAACTTGCAGGACCTCTTTGGCTGTCTCAGCGCCCATCGACACCAAAACATCACTACCCAAAAACAGTATCAAACAGTCAGTAAATGAAACTGGTGAAGCCCAGTGGATTGCACCTGGTTATCGCAAGCTGCTTGAAACGCGCCAGCTTTCTGTGAGAAGTTCTCGTCAGTGCAGGTGAGCCCAGAAAGCCAATAGACCTGGACAGCGCCACTGACGATGTCGCCTGCATACCAGCCGTAAAATCAATTACCCCATTAATGGTGGTTAGTGTTCCATTAACCAATGGTGATTAATCAACAAACTTCGGTGACTGGTTCTCTTTGTAATGTTCTGTTGTCCATTGTTTTCCATTTTCATACCGTTCCGTCTTCATTGTCTCTTCGCCGTTTTTCTACATGATCATGTTCATTCAATGGTCACCAGCATCCCATCCCATAGTTTCATTCCACATTCCACAAAGCCATCAGCACAAGTTTTGTCTTCAAATTTTGATTGTGATTGTCACCGTGAAAGTCTTGCGTAGATCTCAATATTTTGAACTCGAGCAGCGACAAGTCCAAGTTGGAACAGGACCTTCCCGTGTCAATCCAAGGCAGCCATGGGACTACTGGCAACTTCTTGAACTCAGTGACATCTGGCAGGTAAGCCGCAAAAATGGTCTGGGTGTTGCCCAGGCTCCTGCATCACCCTGGTTTCTTAAGCCACACCGCAACACAAAATGACCCATTAGTGGGAACTAAGATCTATTTCAATCACCGCACACGTAAAACCCAGAGCTTTCCGGCTCGTTTTTGGCGTGAAACTCCATAAACATTTTCTCCGTCCTCGCAGTAAACTCACAGCGCTTCAGCATTCCTGCATCGTCTGCGACAATAAGACAGTCTATGATGCTTGTTTTCATTGTCTGACCAAACAAGCAGCTCGAGCTTATCCCAAATGAAAAAGGGACTAGTATGCCTTTGACTTTCGAGTCAGGCGTTCCAACGTGCTCTCTAATAAAGAGTGAGCATGCAACATCAACGTCAAGCGTAGGCCACCAAACATTTTGTGTCCTTGAGCAACGCGAGTCGCTGATTTCACTGTCATGGAGGCCGCCATCTCTTCCTGAATGTATCCCCCTTTTGCATTGAACCGCTGATTACAGGAGGGATAATTTTTCGCTTCAAATCTTCTGCGCATGTACGGAATCGCCTCGAGTGCTTCCAAGTCTCCGGCACTTCACAGTGCAGGCTGCTAGTCCTACCCTACTAAATAAATTGAGCTGATCAAAAAAACAAACCACGCAGGTGAGACCCGGTTTGTGGAGTGAAATTCCAGCGTGAGCCGGAAATTGTGTATTTGACCAGAGGGGCCAAAAACTGTTCGACGAGAAAATTCTTCTAGCAACACCACAGCTGCCATCACTCAATAACCATCGAGCTCCAAACCGCACGGGATCTATCGCTCAGGCCTTGGCATTAGCACAGCAAAGCCCAACCCACAGCCGCAGGATGCCATCTGAGGCTTTGGCGACCCAAGGGACTTTTGATTGATGCCTGCTCTGCTGAGGCTTCAAGCATCCATGTCACTGTGTGGTCTTTCAAGAGTATGTCAACGCAACATTTGTGAAAACACGGATTGAGAAGATCATTCGAAATCCAACCTTCCAGTTGGAAACATGTGGAAACTCAAACTACAGTACTTCGATGCCCCATTGCAAAAACATGCAAAAACCATGTTTTTTTTGAATACGCTTCTCACATTTCCTATTGACATCTGCTGAAGAACTCCCATGCTGATCATGCAGCACCTCCCGAATCTCTCGCGAGGCCCTTCGGGCCACAGAAACAGCACCTGCAGATTTCATCAGATTAGGCCAAAAGGGTACACCGTACTGGGGACACCTTGAAATAGCTCGAATGAAACTTATAAAGGCATCAGCAGGTGACCATTCCCCAATTTAAATCATGACATCAAGAAACACAAGTGTATCATGTCACTGGCAGCAAGGTCAAGGGGAAAACAAGCTCGTAGGATTCAACAAATTTCAGTGGCTGTACAGATACCCAAATTTGATACACAAGGATACCAATAGCAAGCAGAAGAAGTGGCTGTTGGCATTTCTGTAGCTTCCGAGTCATTCCAAGTGCATACTAAAAATGTTCCTAGCCCTTTTATCACCGTACTGATCTGGACAAGGCTGGCTCAGGCTTCTTGGTATGCGTGCAATTTCAGGAATGAGATAAGATGGCATATGGAGTGCGCATGTGCGTCTGCATGTGTCTTTGGAAAGTTGAGAGCACAGCCCATCAAACGTCGTAGGGGATGGAACACCTTAGGAGCCTGAAACACCAATAGATCCTGCTTGAACAAGGTCAGTCACCGCCACAGTGGTCGCCCGTTGGCCTCCCACTTTTATGCCATTTGCCATTCGAGCAACCTGCCACATGGATTGGGAGCACTCTGAATCCTCCTAAAGTGCTCTGAATGCTCAAAAGGAGCACCACTAATACAAATAATCTAAGTACCTCTGACTAGTAAAGAAATTCTAGTTGCTTGACTTCCCTCATGCGTCAGCGGAAGCGCACCCGATCAGCTGGTGATTGCGAACGACGGCTACCGGCACTGGACGTCGATTGCACAGAAGACCTCACAGCTAGACCAGCTTCCATCACATGTTAGCAACTGACATGCTTTCTTGGACATCGCAAGGACTGAGCTCCTGAGACTCAGTAGGCAGATGTCGAATTAAGTACGTTGACAAAAACAAAAAAAGCCTGGCCAGTAGCTTGCTGCCTCATTCCTCCGGTGGACTACCTTCAGGCCCAATCTGAAGTCAATGAGACAACAGATAGACCAGGTCCCCAACGATCGTTTCAAACTGCACGGACGAAAGGCAAAGGGCTTAGTTGGCCTCAGCAATGCTAATGCGCCCCATGTAGGTGCTTTGATTGTGGAATACCCTTGCCAATCATTGAACCAAATCACCCAGCAGTGGTTCTGCTGCGGCCCTGAGATTGGCACGCACTGAGGGATCCTGGCTCACCTGGGGCAATGCACAACTTCTTGGAAATCGGCATTCCCCAAGGTTTACACCTCACACCTTCGCTGAAACCTGATCCATAAGCCTTAAACAAATATCAGCCAACTTCAAATAAGTGCTAAATTAAGGATGTCTACATGCTGGGTATGTTTCATCCCGGAGCCTTGTTGGTTGTATCGTCCATTGTAGGTGAGACCATCTCCATGATTTCGGGGCATAAAATGCTGACCCCAAACTTGGCCACATCAAGGCCTCCATCGTCTTTGCTAAGCTCCGAGAGAAGTTGCTCCTGCGGGCAACATTCTGTGATTCTTTGATCAAGTTTGGGGTCCCAAAAATGACCAAAATCTTTGGTTCAAACGGTCATTCACTTGGATGTATATAAATGATGATATGGATCTATATGGCTGTATGATGCTCACCTACTTTTCAGACCTGTGAAAGGTCACCGGGCCTGGCGTTGCAACTGGGCTGCATTAGCCTCACAACTGGGGCTCTCACAGTATCGGATGACATCCAACATGGGTCGTTTGCGATGACAAGCGTGCCGTTTTTGAACCGTTTTTGCCTAGCCGCTCCCAATGAGAAACCTTTTTTCGCGCCTCCATTGGACTGCTGACCAGGGAGAACTGGTAGTAGCAGGACCTCAGCCGCATGTGCAGATGTGTTTTTTATCATTTCTGCATACCCGTGAATTCGACCCATTATCAAGGAGCAAATCTTTATGAAAAGTCTCGCAGAACTACTATGCGCATCACAACCACGACCTCAGAGCTTCATAGCACTGGCCAGCCTGGCTCGCCGCAGCCAGCAGGGATGATCCATTTTGCTTTCGAACATCAGCATCAGTTGAAGCAAATCTATAGTCTCGTTCGAGAGATAGCCATCTTCACAAACAAATCATGCTCAGATATGCTGAAAATATGCTGAAAAAAAGAATCTGGAAGGCAACTCCAGTGATGCCACCTACTCCCTGCTGGTCGACCCTCAACACGGTGCACCTCGTTGAGTTGCCCACGCCAGCTGCTATCGCAACTCAAAAGGTAAGGAGCTAACCTGCCCACCAAAGGGAAAGAAATGCTTGATCCTGTTCACCTAATGGAATGAGGAGCGTCTGCCGATGGAATGGTGCCCGCATCTACATCTTTTTGTACCGAACGAATAGCCAAATCGGCACAAGCACCGGGCACATCTTTTAGAATCTGGGGACCCACAGCCATCTTTTCGGGCCATCCAACTTTTGCTCAGTTTTTTGACCCAAACCATCCTCGTTTGCATTGACCCCATGTTCGATGGTCAAATCCTTGCGTCTTTTTTCTGTTACATTCCGACTTAGATCCATTCCAAAATCTTAGACATCCATAACTTAGATGCCCACGGTGTATCCAATATTTAGAACATCAGCTGAACGTCATGCACTTGCTGTCATGATCTGTCATGGCTGTCATTCAACATTTAGCACCTCCGCGACTGCATGCTGGGCGCTGCTGGTAGTTCAGAGAGGCGCCGCATCAAGGCATCCGCATCCTGCAAGGGAATGAAACATGGCAATTGAATATCCTCTTTTGAATATACTCTTTTTCCATTTGTTAAAGGAGTTTCAATCGATAAATCATCTATACATGGCCATGTTTGATTCCCAGAGGGTTAAATACAGCAGGAACTACTGATAGGAAGCATCAAGAGTTTGGGGCAAGGAGGTGAGTTATGCAAACAAACCACGAGCCTGAAGCAACCATTTCGTCGCTGCAAGGAGATCTTCCTGCTTCTTTGAAACAACTGGGGCATTGCACACCACACACCTGGGCAGATGAAGGATCAGATGTGGGAACAGCAAGGGATGTTTTGTCAATGCCCGAAGCAGGGCCCCAAGGTCTTGGCAGGCATTCCATCAAGCCAAGCAGATTCTCGACTTCCACACCGGAGAAGGAACCTCCAAGCCTCAGCTCAAACTCGTTCCCAGCTTTGGGACCTTTCAATGTTTAGCCTGGGACAACCATCAAGGTGTTGGGCTGGAGCTACAAAAGAGGACTAAGACAGAAGAATAGAACAAAGGTGAAGGATATAGATCAAGAGTCCAATGCATTCAAATACCAAAGCTCAGACAACGCATTCTGATAATACTCTTCAGGGTTCAGAGCCACTGCGCAAAGTCATGATTTGCATCATGGTTCATTCCAGGGATTCCAGGGGCACAAAGAAGGAATCCGAAGTGCAAATACCCAGCAGGCACGCCAAGATGGAGATACTTCTGAGAATGCCTCATGGAAAAACAGTTTAGCCTGAAGAACACCCTTGCTTGCAAAATGCGATGCGTTCGAGAGAGGATTCCGTCCTTTAAAACATTCTACAAGTGCCGGAACTCAGACAACGCATTCTGATGATACTCTTCACAGTGGCTTCAGAGCCACTGCGCAAAGTCATTATTTGCATCATGGTTCATTCCAGGGATTCCAGGGGCACAAAGAAGGAATCCGAAGTGCAAATACCCAGCAGGCACGCCAAGATGGAGATACTTCTGAGAATGCCTCGTGGAAAAACAGTTTAGCCTGAAGAACACCCTTGCTTGCAAAATGCCATGCGTTCGAGAGAGGATTCCGTCCTTTAAAACATTATACAAGTGCCGGAACTCAGACAACGCATTCTGATGATACTCTTCACAGTGGGTTCAGAGCCACTGCGCAAAGTCATGATTTGCATCATGGTTCATTCCAGGGATTCCAGGGGCACAAAGAAGGAATCCGAAGTGCAAATACCCAGCAGGCACGCCAAGATGGAGATACTTCTGACAATGCCTCGTGGAAAAACAGTTTAGCCTGAAGAACACCCTTGCTTGCAAAATGCGATGCGTTCGAGAGAGGATTCCGTCCTTTAAAACATTCTACAAGTGCCGGAACTCAGACAACGCATTCTGATGATACTCTTCACAGTGGGTTCAGAGCCACTGCGCAAAGTCATGATTTGCATCATGGTTCATTCCAGGGATTCCAGGGGCACAAAGAAGGAATCCGAAGTGCAAATACCCAGCAGGCACGCCAAGATGGAGATACTTCTGAGAATGCCTCGTGGAAAAACAGTTTAGCCTGAAGAACACCCTTGCTTGCAAAATGCCATGCGTTCGAGAGAGGATTCCGTCCTTTAAAACATTCTACAAGTGCCGGAACTCAGACAACGCATTTTGATGATACTCTTCACAGTGGGTTCAGAGCCACTGCGCAAAGTCATGATTTGCATCATGG